AAGTTGTGCCTCCCTGACAAGCTCGAAGCTGCCTTCCTGCTCAGCTCAGGGGTCCGGTCTGTCGCCTTCCTCTACTCGCACTCTTCTCCAGGATAAATGCGTGGTTTAAAGTAGTAGCTGAATGGGGTAGAGTTGGTGCCAAAATGTTTTGGCTAATGATTTTGTAACATCTCTGGCCAACAGTTAAAACACTTTGTCTTTTTGAGACAGGATTTCACTATGTAGTTTAGGCTGGCCTTGAACTCACAGTGAGCCTCCTGCCTCAGCCTCCTGAGTGCTGGGATTACAGCTGTGCACCACCACGGCTGGCCATCAACCACATTTAAACGTTTCTAGTATCTACATTAAAAAATATGTGGAGTTAATTTTAATGTGTGTTTTGGAACTGTGTTTTGGATGTTCAACATAATTTTATAATTTCTTTGCGTTTTAAAAAATATTATTGGTGCATTTTAGATGCCTAAATGATTACATTCATTGTAGGAATTTTGTACCTGTACTTGATGTATCTCGATTCTTCTTTTTTCCCTAATCTCCCCTCCCTTCAACGCCCCCTCCCCGATTTACAAAATTATGTTTCCATTTTTTCCCTTCTATTTTTTCTTTCTCGCTTCCTTTCTTTCACTTTCCTCCTTCCCTTATTCCCCTTCCCATTTGAATATTGTCTTCCTATTTCTCAACATCTATTATATATTTTGGTCCTTATCTACCCTTTTGGTTTCTTACACCAGAGAAACAATGTGACATTTAAATGTATGTCTGGTTTCACTTAAGACTGTGGTCTTGGGATGCATCCACTGACCTAGAAATGTGTCAGGTCTATCCCCTTTATGGCAGAGTAGTACCCCATTATATAAAAAACCAATCTTATCCATTTATAAGTTGGTGGGCATCAAAATAATATTGTTTGGAACAAGTGATCCCTATAATAAAGCTATTAACAATAGTTATGTTCTTTTCTAGTGCTAAGTCTTCAGAATCTAGTGCATTCCTGGTTTTGGATTAGCCCTGTTTCATGCTCAGTAGCTTCATGTGCCCTGGCTCCTGTGTGGGACACTCTGCCTTAGAAACCTCCCTTCCCCCCTTCCTTACTGAGGTTGGCCCCAAGCTGATGTTGCTTCAAGTCCTGTTGCCGGTTACTAGATAAGTTCTGGCTTCCTGCCTGGACTTGTCTGGATTACACTAGCCTAGGTCCAGAAGTAAATAAGGTGCCAGGGGAAGCAAGTGTCTAGATTTATTATCTTCATAGTTGCCCTTGAATTGACCTCAGATTTTTGGGGTGCTAGATGTGTTGTTGAAGTAGCTGCCAGGAGGAGGAGAGAGTCAGGCAGGTTGCACTCTTGTCCGCTGATAGGAATTCTGTGAAAACAAGGCTGACTTAGGGACTGACTGTGTGAAGATTCTGTTCACCGTGCTGATTCCTAGAGTCTGTGGAAGTGTGAGTGTAGCTTCCACTAAAACCAGAATGTTAGGACGTCAGTGGTTGTCCCCTGGGTTGTGGAGCCACCCGCCGTGGTGCAGAGCTCCAGTGGGCAGCGCGGCCCTTCTCTCTGTCCCAAGTGTCTGTAAAGTGCCAATAAGCCTGACTCCGGGTTTACGGTGTCTTAGGACGGAATTAACTGACGTGTATAAGCTTAGAGTGTGGTGTGTACAGTGTGTCAGTGCTGTTTTTTACACATATATGATGTTGGCCATTCTTACCACTTCCCAGCTGGGAGTGGTGGTCAGAGAAGGGTCCTGCTGCAGACCAGGTAAGCAGGTGCCAGAGAAGGGAAGGTTCCCTCTGCAGCACACGTGGTTTCCAGCAGGCTGCAGAAGAAGTGCTGGAGAGAGTGCAGGACTGACTTCCCCCAGGTTCTCGGGGAGAGAATGCCTTTTAAAAAAAGACAGGAAGGTGCGAGGTGAGAGTCATTGCATGTGGTGGTAGCGGTTCCCAGGCCCCAGTTCTGAGTTAGCCAAAGACAGGAGAGTGGTGAGAGCTCTGTGAGTGACTTCTCAGCACCCCTGGCTTTACGTGGTGAGATCCGGCTCTGGAGTGCTGTGAGGACGTTTGTGATGGCCAGGTCCCACCTGGAAAGCCTGGTTGTTCTTCTGGAGGCCTTTCATTTAGTCATGCCCCACGATCCTCCCACCCTGGAGAGTGGCGTAGTCACAGGTTCTGGGAGTCAGGAGTTAGACACCTTCCAGGGACCATGGCTTTGTAATACTGTGCAGCCCGTTCAGTAAGAGAAATGCTGAGATCTATGTGCTCAGAGGCAAGAGGAGATCACTGTTAAAACAGGGGTTCCTGTTTATTGGAAACGAGAAATGGTATGGTACCTTTTCTTGTGCTTACGTTTTAAAAAAGACTTTCTGTATACATAGAAAGATCTAGAAGAATGCACACTACACATGCTACACAGAAGCTAAGTTATGACTTTGAACTATGTATTTGTTATATATAAGCACATATTTGTTTACTCTTTACTTTTACAAAAAGTACATTTAAAAAAAAATGCAGCACTTACAACAATGACCCATGTTCTTTTGTGTCATTTTCTACTCAGTCCAAACTCTCTAAGTCTTTATAAATCTGTTTTATAAGTCTTTCAGCTACTTTGGTTCTTCATCAGATTTATAAATCTTTGAATCTTAAGCTTTTTTCCTCTTGTATTTCCTTTCATATTTCTAAGTAACAAGATTATGTTTCATTTTCTTACCCATTTTAGCTATCTTTTGACATGATATAAGCACTTCTGTAAACCACTCTTACGAGTATTTTTCTTCACTCTTCTTCCTCTGATAGTGTTACACTGAAAAATTTGCTTGCATTAGCATTGAGTGATGATTACAACCCCAGAACTATTATTTTTAGCTACCCACGACTATAATGAAGGAAATGTTATCCACCTATACACATACATAAGGAAGAAACCTTTATTTTTCCCTCTTTTTAAGAGCCTTTCCAGGTCTAGGCACAGCTGCTATTTTGAGGGGCCTCTCTGAGGTGATCTTAGATGTCTATGTCTCTATGTCTCTATGTCTCTTCCATCCTCTTAGGTTGCACCCCACCTTCCTGAAGCTCTTGCTGCAGCTTTGCGCTTTCCTCTTGGATTTATTGAGCACATCTTCCAGTGATTTTTTTTTTTTTTTTAAGAAGGCTATATGGGAGATTTTTTTTTTTCTATGTTTAAAAAAAAGGAGAAAACCTTACCAGAAAAAATCAGAATTGGGAAACCCACATGTACCTGAGTTGAAATGATGCTTTTTTCCCTTCAGAGGGAATTACACAGGAGACAGGCTTAAACCCTGGGAGGGCAGCCTTCTTTCTGTCCCAGCAGGTTCCCCTGTTCTTTGACTCTGGACCTAAGAAGAAGAAAGGTTAAAAATGTGGATCTTATCTTCATATCAAAGCTACTGTTCTTTGGCAGATGTTTCTATTTTTTACTTGCCTTTGCTTTGCAAAATAGAGGCATTGAAGACCTCAGTAGGGCTCCTCAGTTTAAAGGAGACAATAGCCATAATAAGATTCATGAGGTGTTAGAGTTTATTTCTGTGGTTGAACTGATTCTCCCCCCCCCTCCTCCCTCCTGTCCTCCTTCCCTCCCTGTTGGAGCTGGGGCCTCACAACCAGTTGGGCAAGTGCTCAGCCACTGAGTTACATCCCTGGCCCTCAAAAGTTTTTTTTAGGAGAATGTAGACAACTTAATTCTAATGCCCAAGTGTACTTTGGTACTTACACGTATGGTTACAATATTAAATTTTTCCTTGGAGTCACATTTACCTTTTTTACTATTTAAAACTGCTCCTCAATGTCTGATTTTTTTTTAATTTTTTTTACCTTCAGGGTTTAATAAGTTACCTTTAATTTTGCTGGAAAGTTTTTACTTTGTTTTTAATTACATGCATAGCATGTACTCTATGGAAAACTTGCAACATAGAGACATTATAAAAGGGAAATATTTATTGTTACTATGCTATATTGTTTCTAGATATTTTTCATTGTGTTTTTTGACATAGTTAAGACCATGATGAATTACAGTCCTGATTCTTAAGTTGTTACATAGTATAGTATTATTTTTTAGAGATCTGCACTAAAATATATGTTGTCTAATAATTCAAAATCGAATATAAGAGTGGCAAGTGAATTGGCTATAAATTGATAATACTTTTTGTTTTTGTATCTGAATTGAACTCTAGAACTTGCTCTTGAAATTGCTGATACTTGAGTTGGTAGCTCAAAGAATTCTTTATACTACTGTCAACTCTCTTACATGCTCAAAGTTTCACATAATAAAATAAAAAATAATAGACTATAGTAGTTCATTACATCTTAATTGCCTTAAACCGTTGTTTGTAGTTAAGGATTGTTATGGCTTGTGTCCAGATGTCCCCCAAATCCTCATGTGGTCCTAGGTGGGGCTTTTTCAGAGGTGACTGGATCTAGAATGTGTGATGCTGAGATTAATTCATGGTGCAGTGCTAGGCTCAAGGGCACTAGGATTAAGGGTGTCAGTGGTGCCCTATACAAGTAGTCTGGATTAAGGAAAAGGGGCAGAAAGATGCTGTTAAGGCTCCTGGCTGGCTTGCTTTTGCTGTCTTCTGCCCCCATGTACTGTTCTTCCCTTTAACTTTGGGTGCCAGGCACTTTATCTTAGCAGTGAGAAAAGTAACTAAGGCAGGCATTTGTTTTTCTCTGTTTTAAACAGCATGACTATGAATATATTTCAGATACTTGTTTGTTTGTTTGTTGTTGGTCTTTTTCTTTTTTTATCGGTACCAGGGATCGAACTCACGACTGCCTGCTTGCAAGGCAGGCGCTTATGCCACTGAGCTAAATCCCAAGCCCATTTCAGATACTTGTGATGGGTTTATAGGAGTAGAATTGCTGCATCAGCGTGTAAACATCTTAAAGGCTTGGCACCATATTGCTTGATGAAACTGAAGGATCTTCATTGAATTTGTAATTGTATTTTTTTTTTTTTTTTTTTTTTTGTCGTTTTGAGACAGGGTCTCGCTATGCAGTCCAGGCTGGCCTTGAGCTCACTTTGTAGCCTAGGCTAATCTCAAACTCGCATAGATCCTCCTGCCTCAGCCTCCCAAGTGCTGGGATTACAGGCGTGAGCCACCACACCTGCCTTGTAATTGTACTTGTTGAGCACAAAAACAATACAGCAAGTTCATTCTAAAAATTCACTGTAAATCAATCAGGGTTTACTAAGTATATCAAAATAGGCTTAATTTTTTTTTGTTTTTATTCATACTCTTGTTTAATGAGTACTAGTGACCGTTTACATGGACCCAGTTTGATACACCATTTTCATATCCAGTACACCCTGTGGCTCTGCGCTTCAGTATGTTATTGGTAGTGGTAACAGCTGTTACCACTAGATGGCTCTCTCTGCACGTATGAGCAAAAGGCTTACAGTGCTGCGACTGTATTTTGAAGTTTCTCTGTACATCTTACTAAAAATGCATTTTAATTGGATTAAACATAATGACCTATGTCAGATTGGAATATGCATTTTAGAGCTGGTAAAGAAATTCACGGTAGATTCATTCTAGTGGCATTGATGGTTTGTCTTCAACAAGAAAAGACTCTTAAGGGGTAGGGGGGAAAGGACGGATGGACCCTGAAGTGCCACATGCCTATTGTCAGCATTTTTGACATTCTTTAAAGTTTATCAAATTAAATTATATTCCTTCATTTTATTGGAGGTAAAGTTATTAGCCACATTAAGAAACAAGTTTTTGTTTTTTTTTTAATCACTACCCCTTTGCCCAGTGCTCTTGAAGTCTGGTACTTTATCTGTGAGGGTTCAGTGTGCAGACGTGGAGCGGCTCAGCTGGGGGCCTGGTATGGAGCTGTGGGCTCCAGGCCAGTTGTGTTGCTAACGCAAAAATTGAGCTCCCGGAAGAGTTAGAATTATTCCATTCTGAAGTGAATGACTCTTTTCAGTGAGAATCAGAAATGGTTGCTGTGTTTTGATATTTTTTGTTAAAGTTTTACCAGTTTTCTTAGAAAGTCAGAGCATCTTAGATCTGGGTCTTGCTTGATCTTGTGTGCAGTTTCTTCTCATTGATTACCAGTCTTATTAGATCCTTTGGACTCTTACAGTATATTGCTGTTTGTGTTAATATGAAGAGAGAAAAATCAGAGCTAATATTTCCTACTTGAATGGTTCATGTTTTGCGTATAAGAAAGAAGAGAAATAGAAGGGAAATGATGTATCATTAAATTTGTGTTACTGTAAATACTCAAGAAGATGTACTAAATGACACAGGATGTAGTAGGATGCTCACACCTGTATGTAAAGTCTACATAAAGTCATTTGCACTCAGCCATCCTCTATGAAATGCTGTAGTATGGCTTCCTAATCTTTAATGCCTAAGATACCTTCATAAATACACAGAAGGCCCACTAGGGGGCAGCACAGTCTCCATTAAGACCCACTGATTCCTGAGTATCCAGATGGAGTTATCTACTGCACAGCTGTCCTGCCATGGAGTTTTAAGATCAGAGGAACTGATGTACCCTACGTGCTGAAATGATATGTTTTGAATAAGGCAGTTGGAGAAATCGATTTGGTCAGCTGCTTCACTGTTTTATTTCAGTGCTAATAAATATTTGTTTATATTTTTCTTTTAGATTCTCAGAAGTGGAATCATGGGACTGTAGGCTTGAACACTCTTAATTTTTGTTACATTTGTTGAAACGATTTAAAACTGATCTTTTTGTATTGCTACTCAGCATACTTGAGATGTCAGTGTATGAAGGTACCTGTTTACCCTGCGGCGACTACACTACACATTATTTTAAAATTACTTACATTTATGTGGCCATCAGAGATCATGAACATTTTTTATGGTTGTAAATTACTTGTTTTCTCTTTTAATATACAGCCATATGGTTTTTCAAAATACAGACGTATTGAGCTCTTGGTGACTTTCCTCCTTTTTCATTTTGAAATATACTTCTAAAATAACTAAAACAATAATTCTTCTAGTCATTTTTGTGGTAAACATCCTTTTCTGCTTTGGATTTTATTTTGCTTAATTTCTTAATACATGAACATTTCACATTTTTATGAGACTTAAATATTTATCTTCCCATAAAAAGAATGCGATTTCAAAGAGAAAACATGGAAAGATTGGAAATCAGATTTCAGAAAGGAGAGAGATGTCCATAGCTGCACTGTAGATAAGAATATTTACAAATCTATATAAGTTTGCTCATATGTTTTGTTTTGTTTTGTTTTAACTGGTACCAGGGATCAAACTCACGACCACGCGCTTGCAAGGCAGGCACTTATGCTGCTGAGCTAAATCCCCAGCCCCTACAAATCTATAAGTTAAGGGCAGTTAATTTCAGACATAAGAAAAAAACCTGAATAGCCCCTTTATTAAAGAGATCCTGAAAGCTGTACCATGTAACACTAAGTAGGCGTAAGGAAAGCAAACAGGTTTATTTTCTGTATGAAGTGTTTAAAAATACATTCAAAGATGCATGTCATATTAGAGTTAGGTTTCTATGAAAACTAGTATATTTGGAGTGTAGATAATGTATTTGTTAGTGGGGCCAGGATAGACTTTACTTGTGTAGGAGAGAGGTTAATTTTCATTTTTTATTTTCTTTATTCAGCCTTTAATGGGAAATCATTATTGAGGGTTTTTGGTTTTTGGGTTTTTTTTTAGTTTTGAATATAATGTTAATTTTTACTGTCAAGCCACTACACTTTTTCTAAAGGGAAAAAACATCACAATGATCTCTTTAAGGATCTTACTACCCATAATGGGGTAAAGGACTTTGTTGAAATTTTTCTTGAGAAAATGAAAGTTAAAAGAAAAGGAAATCAGAAATTCAGAGGTCAAAATGTCACGTGTTATTAAAAAAAAAAGCACTTTTTTGGGGGTCTTTTTGAGACAGGGTCTCTATACAGTTTAAGCTGGCTTTGAACTCACTTTGTAGCCCAAGCTGGTCTCGAACTTGCAACAATCCTCCTGCCTCAGCCTCCCAAGTGCTGGGATTACAGGCGTGAGCCACCACGCCCAGCTTTAAAAAGGCACATTTAAAAGCCTCATGTAAAATCCACAAACACGTATGTTTTTCTTAATCTTCGCTGTAGACTATTATGTGAGTTATTTTTGTCATTGCCGATGGCACCCTTGCAGGAAATTGTCCTGTCCCCGTGATAGATGCTTGTTTCAGGTGTGTGCAGCTTACCTAACTACTGTGCAAGCCTCCTTGTGTCAGTCAGTCACTCCTGGGCTAGCTGTTCCCATAGAATCTCAAAAATAGAAGGACTTAGTGTGTTTTCCTCTCGGGCATTTTTCCTACAGTTACCCTTTTAGGTTTCTTAACATCCCTTCTGATTACATCGTAACATCCTGTCCCTGGCAGAACAGCCTTTTCAAGCTGTATCTGCTCACTTGTGTCTCACACTCCCCTCTTCTCCTTGAATAATAGCCATTCGCAGGAGCCTGGGCTACAACAATCAGCCTATCATTCCACTTGTAGCTCATGTCTGCTTGACTACTGTACTCATCTAACACTCCTAGAGTGCAGTAAGGTAAGACAGATTCACACCTCAGGCACATTCTTACTGTGCACACCTCTTTGAGGTTCCATGTCTCCTCCCTTCCCTTCCCGCAGACCGGAATCCTGCCTGTTTGCATTTCCTTCAGGGGGCTGCTATCTTAATGTTGAGCAGTCTTCCAGCTGGGTAATCTTTCCGTGGTTGCAGACTTCTTCAGAATCATCATTCTGAATCCGAGCACCCCTGGTACATTCAGATCTTTCTTTACTTATGTCCTCGTGCCATGACCTTTTTCAGACACCTTTTGATGTTTTTTATTGAATAAAATGCTTCCTCACTTCCTTTCCAGAGACCCTGTATTCAAGATACAGTGGTAATTCCAGCTGCTCAGTGAGACAGATGCTACTCGTACTTTCTCAGATTCCCTTTTCACTGTTTTGATGAATCATGATTATGCTCTTTTCTGAACGAGCTTAAGTGCATTTACAAAGGTAGGAAATACATACTTTAGAATTCAACACATCTACCCTTGCAAAAATAAGTTATAGATTTAATTTCACTTGCATAAATAACTGAAGACATAGTCTTGTATCTTATTTACTTACATGAAAATTACCTTGCTATGTACTCTTACAGGAAAAGCAGTTGCCAGTTTTAAATGTTAGGCCAGCTTTTCTCTTTCGTTTCATTTACCTCTTTTGTCTTTTACCAGCTGTGTTTGGAACACTTCTGACTAATTTTATACTAGATAAGAACTTAATGAGCTGAGCTGGGGATATAGCTTAGTGGCATAGTGCCTGTATAGCATGTAAAAGGTCCTAAGTTCAACTCCTGGTACCAAACAAACAAACCCAAACTTAATGAACAAGTAAAATACATTTCAAAAACTGGGGTGTAAATTGCTTCTGTGTGATCTGTACTTTCAGGTTAACCATAATATCACCCGTTAAAGATAACTAAGAATGCACTTACTACTAAAGACAAGAAGGGAGAAGTCATGTCATGATCACGATGTACAAATGGAGATTTGACCTTCACTTTATCTCTTCTGTTTAGATGTCCCTGGTAGATTTGGGAAAGAAGCTTTTAGAAGCGGCACGAGCAGGTCAAGATGATGAAGTTCGTATTTTGATGGCAAATGGAGCTCCTTTCACCACAGACTGGGTAAAGAATGACTTTGCTGTGGCTGCTTCTTCCTGCTTTCCCTGCTTATATTTGGAGGGATTTTTCAGATAAAAATTTAGTTGGCATTATGTTTGCAGATGGTACTGTTGTGAATTTGTTTCCTATTTTAAAAGTATAACTAACTATCTTAAAATGAGTGGCTCCTAACATTTTAGTTTGACAACCATATCCAAATATTCTGTCCAAAGTTCTCTCTTCTATGATACGCTATCAGATGGGATAGAATGAATGTAAGACTGAGCTGATTGGATTTAATGTAAAGGTCTTACAAATAGCACAGGTAGAATTTATAATTCAGAAAGTAATAGTAAAGATAAGAATTGTAAAAAAAAAAAAGAAGAAGAAGAAGAATTGTAAGTGCTAAAAAGTGTATGCTTAAACCAGTAAGTTTTAAAACCAAGAGTTGTAAAACTCTGCATGCTTGATCAAGGAGAAGGAAGGAATGGGAAGAATTCTAAGTCACTAGGGAATGCAGTTGTAGGAAGAAGAGGAAAAATTAACCAATTTCAGGGGCAAACTAAAAGGAATAGTTCTGGGAATGTGGAGGGCAGGGAATCTGGACGAACCCTTCTGCTGATAACAATTAAAAATTCCAAATTTTTCATTCCTTTTTCATTCACTTATCATTGTTATTTTATTTTTTAATGTAAGATAAAAGTTTCTTACTGTGGACAGTTTCAAACATATCAAGAGATAAAGGCTTGAGCCAGGCATGGTGGCTCACGCCAGTAATCCCAGCACTTAGGAGGCTGAGGCAGGAGGATCCTTGTGAGTTTGAGACCAGCCTGGGCTACAAAGGGAGCTCAAGGCCAGCCTAAACTGCATAGCAAGACCCTGTCTCAAAAAGACAAAAAAAAAAAAAAAAGAGAGAGAGAGAGATAAAGGATTTTTCATTAGATATTTTCAAGAAAAAAATTTTAAGTGCGTTACTGGCATAGAAAATAAACTTTTATTAATGTGAAACACTTGAGTGCAGGCTAAAACTTGGAGACAGTTTATCCAGTGAGTATCTGCAGAACTTAGGTTTTGCCTGTGGGTGTTCTCACTTAACTGGCATGGCATTGGGAATCCTAGTGAGCAGGACCTGTGTAAGGATCCTATCCACATCCCACCTCCTGTGTCTGCGCCTGTGCCAGGACTACTAAAAAAAATAGACCAACTTGAACCAAGAGGGGAAAAATTATCAGTAAAAATTTGAAATTAAAAGCCATGCCTGCATGTCTGCAGCCTGTACTCATAATTCTTGTATTCTTTAAGAATGGAAACTGAAGGCCTGGGATTCAGCTCAGTGGCATAAGCACCTGCTTGGCAAGCTTGAGGTCATGAGTTTGATCCCTAGTACCAAAGAAACAAAAGCAGAAACTGAGAAGTGATTTTTTTTTTTTTTTTGAGAAGTGAATTTGAAGTGATCGTTGCACTAGGAATGATCTCAGGCTCCTGGCAGAAGCAAATGGTTGATCTCGCTGGGGGAACCTACCCGCATCCTAGCAGTATATCCACTGGTGAAATTCCAAAGGAAACAAAATGGTTACCAGCAGCTGAACATGTGAACTTTTTTTTTTTTTTGTCTTTTTCATTTTTATCGGTACTAGGGATCGAACTCACGACTGCCTGCTTACAAAGCAGGCGCTCATGCCGCTGAGCTAAATCCCCAGCCCCTGAACATGTGAACTTTTACAAAGCACTGTGAACCGTAACCTGCTGTAACAAATGAAGCAGGGCAGACCTCCCCAGGAAGATAAGATTTCAGTAACAAGTTAAAAGGAAATGAAGAGAAAATTAGTAAACTGGAGGACAAGCCATCCAGACAGAAAGGTCATAATAAAAAGGATTAATGTTCATGGTGTGCAAGCAGCACCGTGGGTCAGTAATAAAAAGACAGACAGGCGTAGAAGACTGGTCAGATGTCCCAGTGTGGCACTCTATTAGGAGAGTTTGGATGGCCACTAAACAGGCAGGGTGCTCGTCTGTGTTAAGGCCGGGGCAAATGCAAAGCGAAATCGTGAAATGCTTTTAAATATCTGCCCAGTGTGACAGCAGATGTCTGGCGTACCCAGCCTTGGTGTGGACTTGTGAGATGGGAGCTCTCAGATGCTTTCGGGGGGTGTGGATCCATGTGGTCCTTTGTGGGGCAGTCTGGCAGAACTTAGTGAGTTTCAGTACGTCCACCTGTGAGACAGTGGTTGAACTTTGAGGGTACTCCCAGTAGAGGGGAGTCTTGTTGATGTTTTTTAAGATACCTGTAAGACTGTACTTGCCAGCAGTATTATTCATAATGACAAAATGAAACAGCCCAAATGTTTGTTGGTTGAATGGAATATTGTAGAGCTGAGAAAATGAGTGAATGGCTTTGACAGTGATAAGCATGAGTTAGTCTTACGACCCTAATGTTAAGCAGAAGGCCAGTGGAAGTCATCAAGAGACACACGCAGTGGAATTCTTTTTAAAGAAGATTCATAGCTGGGTATGCTGACACTTACCTGTAATTCCAGGGGGCAGAGGCAAGAGGATCACAAGTTCAAAATAAGGTTCAAATGGGCTAGCCCAAAATGTATCATTTAGGGGTGGTAGTGATACACAGAAAAACAAAGCAGTGTTGGCTATACAATTCTGAGTAGTCCTTATCCCTGGAGCTGAGGTGGGGTATAATTAGGGAGTGACCTATGGCAAGCTTTTAATTTCCTGGCAGTGTTTTTGTTTGCCTTTTCTTTAAACTGCATACATGTATGTGTATATAGGTACGGAATTTTTTCATCGCCAAAAGGGAAAGTCTCAAGAAAACAAATAACACTCAACACAAAGACCCAACAACAGAGAGTGGATCCCTGTGGCACATTGAGGAGAAACTCATGATAGATATACTGTTAAGTACTTTTGTTAAGTATTAGAATTTAATACTGTAAGCTGTCCTCGGTGGCACATGCCATATTCCCAGCCACTCGGGGGGCTGAGGCAGGATCATGACAGTTTGAAGCCAGCCTGGGCAAATAGTGATCCTCTATATCCAGAACACACAAAAAAAAATAATGAACAGAGAATTGAAGCACATAGGAAGTGCTAGCTATAGGAAAATATGACCAGCCGTGGAAAAGGAATGATCAGGAATTGACTTCGGTCTGCTAGGATGACCTTCCCTTGAAATCACATAGTTTTGGTGGCACCGAAATAATCGTTTCCAAGGTCAGTGAGTTCAGTTTTTGCACTGAGTTTCTGCACTGAGAGCACGCAACCAGTGTGGTGTTACAGCTCCCTGTGTGACCTGAGGCCAGCTGGGAAGTGTTGTGCCTTAGATTCTCTGACTGTCACAGAGGGCAGCAGCCTCACCTGCATTATGAAGAGGTGAAATGGGTCAGTGTGTGACGTTCTTAGGACAGCGTGTTCCACAGAAGCTCCTGAGAAAGCATAGTGCTGTGTGTTGCACGGTAGTCTTAGCAGATTGGTGCTCTGGTGAGATACACTCCTTGCAACACCGGGGACTTGGTGGTCAGAGTTGCAGGGATTGTCAGTGCCTGTCCGTGCACATGTAGAACTTGGTCTGTGTTTCACATCTGCTGTGCCTGTCTCTGATCTTAGTGGCACTTCCTCCTCGCCTGTTAGTACAGTGCTTCCTCTTTGTTGTGATGTTGACCCACAGAACCAGTTGCAGACCTGATCTGTCTTGATTCTGTTGGACTCCTTGGCAAATACATCAGTTTTCCTTTCAGGAGTGACTCTGAATCCCTTTATGAAAGATCAGAGTTTGTTTTGGTTCACTTACTATAAAAATGTACACTGCTGCGTTTAGGTGAATTTTATGGGCAAATGGAACTTGTTATTTTACCAAATTTTCTATTATTAACATAAAACATTCTAATACGCAGAAAGGTTCTCAAACCCTGATTATTTCTAAATTTGTAATGAAATAAATTTTACTTAATGAAATTAATTTTGGTAAAAAAAAAAAAAAAACAATGAAAGTTTGAATTAAAGGAAATACAACTTTTCTTCCTAAATAGAGTAATGGGAATTCTTGAAGGCTTCTGTAACGTTATAATGAGCTTCAATCAAGTAACTTTTTTTGAGTTTCAAGTTACTGTTATCTGTGCAGATGGTATAGTCTGCTTACTGTGCAAAAAGAAGCTGTAAAACAGTGCGGTAGCAGAGACGTCTTAAGCGCAGCTGTGAGTTTGTGTGTTGTTCCTGTGTTTCCCATGCCAGCTGGGAACATCTCCACTGCACCTGGCAGCGCAGTATGGCCACTACTCCACCACAGAGGTGCTCCTGCGAGCCGGCGTGAGCAGGGATGCCAGGACCAAAGTGGACCGGACGCCCCTGCACATGGCGGCCTCTGAGGGCCATGCCAGCATCGTGGAGGTCTTGCTTAAGGTACGTGGTATCTGTTTGCTCTCAGTCCCACCAAGACTTCCTGGCTTTCTAAGAAGAAGAGAGCTATTTTTTGGGGGGGAGGGTGGATCGAAGTTACAACTTTTGTGTTTGTCAAGCAGGCACTTATGCCACTGAGGCCCTAAGTTTTATTGAATGTCTACTTCCAGTTTTATCTATGGTGTCTCATTCTGCGCATAAGCCATCAGATTAAAATGATTGGAACATTTTCTGTGGTGAGGGGGAAAAACTTCTTTGGAGGATGCTCTTCATTAAATCAGACAGTTAAAAACAGTGCTTTGGGTGAGGATCTACAGCTTTGTCCTGATATGGCTTTGTCTTAAAAATGCTCGTGAAAAAGAATGTAAAGCATTGATGATTAACAATGAATACAGATGGGGATTTATCTTTAATCATCCAAATGTCAATGGGTGATGGAGAAAATTCTGACACAGCAGTAGACATTGTTCTGACCCTTGCATCCTGACTTCTAGGTGAATCTGCGCAAACCATAATTGCAAATCACATGTGATTCTAAGTATTCTTTAGCTACTTCTGAAGTAAAAATTGATTTTAATATTACATTTACCTTAGCATATCCAAAACATTTTCATGTTGACATGAAATAAATACAAAATGATGGAGATAGTTCACATTCTATATTTTGGTACTGTCTTTGAGTTCCAGTGTTTATACATAAATGTGCACGTCTTTGATCTGACTAGCTGGCTTCAAGTGCGTCGTGGCCACCCGTGTCTCCTGGTGTCAGGTTGGACAGTGTCTTCTTTAGGTTGTGCTGATTTTGAAAGCAAAGGATAGTTTTGGATAAATGAGAAACATAGCATTAGACAGTTTAGAGGAGTGTTTGTAGTTGTCTTTTACTTCTTACGGTGTTCTTTTTTTTGAGACTAAGCGTTGCTGTGTAGTTCAGGATGATATTGAACTTACCACCCAGGCTGGCCTCAAGGTCCTCCTCCCTCAGCCTCCTGAGTGTTGGGATTACAGGTGTGTGCCACCACACCCAGCTCTGACACTATTCTTAGTAATTTAAAAGGAAAAAAACTGTCTGAAGCTGAGTAACTGGAAAAAAAAAATAGCATCATTTCAAGAGATTATAAGGGAAGCATTTGGTGGGAATATTAGCATGATAGAAAAGTTACAAAGCTACAGAGAAGTTACAATAGCTGGAACGTGTATTTAACACACACTGAGACTTTTATTATGTATTTGTTCTTGCCTCAAAGCATAGTAACCAGTATTTCCCTATCAGAAATTCTTTGTATTTCAAATATTAATCATATACAATATCTTAAGTTTCAAAAATTTTTTTGTAGCATGGTGCTGACGTCAATGCAAAAGATATGTTAAAGATGACAGCTCTACATTGGGCCACGGAACACAATCATCAAGAAGTGGTGGAACTTTTAATCAAATATGGTGCTGATGTACACACGCAGAGTAAATTTTGTAAAACTGCATTTGATATTTCAATAGACAATGGAAATGAAGATTTAGCAGAGATACTACAGGTAACTTGGCTTCCAGTTGAAGGAGGGGAAGCTGTATGATGAGTCTCTGTCTAATAGATGTTTAAGCTTGTAGCTTTTTACTTTGCACGTCACTTATTTTAGGCAGGCCTTTTTCTGTGGCACTTCCTCTTTGTTTATTACTGTTCATTTCTTGATGGGAAGACCACAGTCTTCATGTAGCAGAAGATTAGATAAGGTGATTACTTTCTGAGTTTAGGTTTCTGAATTCTTTTTTCCAGGAATTGTGTGTTTTTATTTCTGCTGCACATTTAGGTACCATATGATTTTTCAAAGTCTATTATAAATTAGTTAATAAAAGTTAAAAAAAAACTTTAGCTACCAAAATGAGCCTTTTGAGTGATACAGTCTTTATCATTCTGATTATTTTTCATCATCTTCTAAAGAATCTGTAAGTGGACATAGTTGTTTTGCTTGTAACCGGCATTACTTATCTTTTCTACAAGAGGATATTGATAAATTCTCTTAGTGCCTTTTCCTGCCTATCTTTTTGTATAAAAAGATCATCTGACTTCATTGAATTTCCGTATGTTACATGTAAGACGTCTTAGGTTCGGAAAAGTGAATTTCCCATGCTGCTTTATGTGGCAGGCGTGCAGTCAGGGATGGGGCTAAAGGTAGGGGCCTGTTTATCGGAGGCTGTGCTTTGTGTGTACAGGGTGATATACTGCCGGCGGTAATGGAAGAAGCGACTCATACGTTCCCTGCCACAGAGCAGGATGTTTTCAGTATTCAGTTCAGATTCTCATTTCTCCTCTAACAGAGTTTTGCTGCTTTACTCAGCACAGCATCTTGGAATATAAATTTATAACTATTTTACATTGCACTCGGTTCATCAGTTCATGTTTTCACTTGTATTACGTGGTCCTTCTTAGAGAATGCTCCCTTATGTGTACATTTCTGCCACACATTCTGGTTATAATTCTAAAAACTCTGTGGTACTGTTTGCCTAGATTGCTATGCAGAACCAAATCAACACCAACCCAGAGAGCCCTGACACTGTGACGATACACGCCGCGACACCGCAGTTTATCATCGGACCTGGAGGGGTGGTGAACCTAACAGGTCTGGTATCTTCAGAAAATTCATCCAAGGCAACAGGTATTGAGATGCATATAGGACAGCTGTTGGGATTTTGTGCAGTAGCAGGTATTCCTCCTTTTAAGAAAGGACTTTTGGAAAATCAGGGTAAGATTCCATCAGCCACTTTATTGTCTTTTATACTGGCAAAATTTTCTAATCTAAAGAAAGGTGATACTACAAAATATACTGTAGTATTATCTTTCGAAAACTAATGCCACCCAAGCTTTATTTAAGAGTTGAGTAAAGTACAATATGACACAAGAACAAAGCATAGGAGTAAGCTCGTTAAAAGTTCCCATTTTCCTGTTCTTCCAGATGAAACGGGTGTGTCTGCTGTCCAGTTTGGAAACTCCTCTACATCAGTATTAGCTACATTAGCTGCCTTAGCTGAAGCTTCTGCTCCGCTGTCCAGTTCTTCAGAAACTCCAGGTTAGGAAAGCAAGTCGTGTGTGAGTGGAAGCTACAGATTCAGATACTTCGGAAAGCCTGGACTGGAAGGGCCACGGGAGGCTTGGAAGGCAGGGGAGAGGCTACGTCCAGCCCAGGGGCCGGGCTGGGCTGGTGCCTGCTGCTGAGTGCCAGCCAACTAAACGGACTTGAGTGCTTCACAGAAAGCCTACCCGAGGACCCAGTTTGTCCCATGTTTTACCAATTTGTGACTTGTTATTTACATACAGAACCTAGCTCTATATGAAGTTATTGTTGTTTTATCAATTGAAGTTTTAGCAGTTGTGTTAAAATGATAAGTGTCTGCCAACTAGAGGATGACACACAGTGTTGGTGAATTGGTTCAGACAAGCTTTGCTTTACACTGACCTGAAATACTTGGTTTTTTTTGTTTGTTTGTTTTTTTGTTTTTTGTCTTTTTCCTTTTTATTGGTACCAGGGATCGAACTCACGACTGCCTGCTTGCAAGGCAGGTGCTTATGCCGCTGAGCTAAATCCCCAGCCCCAACCTGAAATATTTATTGATGTACATATTTTTAATCAAGAAATTTAAACCCCAAGAAGTATCCTTACTGTAGTTTTAAGCCATTATGTTTAGATCATTGTTTATGATAGTGAAGAATAGTTGTCATTTATAAAATTGGTGGGGGTTTTTTTTGTTTTTTTTTGCGGTACCAGGGATTGAACTCAGGGCCCTGTGCTTGCCAGGCAGACGCTAAATCCCTGGCTAAATTAGTGGTTTTTTTTTTTTTTTAAAAAAAAAGATTCGATCAGTAATAACAATACATTGAACATTTTACTCTGTGTGCTAGGCACTGCTGTAAATGGTTTTTTTTTTTTTTTTTTTTTTTTTTTTTTGAGGCAGTATTTCTTACTTTCTAGCTCAGGCTGACCTCTAACTTGGAGTGATCCTCCTGCTTCAGCCTTCTGAGTGCTGGGATTACAGGCATGCATCACCATACTGGCTGTAAATGTCTTACTTACAATCTCAGTGACTCTTCAACTTATGAAGAGAAAAAACTTACCTATGTCTTTTTTTTTTAAAACTAATTAATGATAACTGATATTTATTCCCCAGCTTTTTCAGCATCATAATCCGAACCTTTTTAAAAAAAATTTTTAAAGTCCTTTTTATTAGAGTCTTCAGATTTTTCTACATTACTTTTGGCCACGTGCAGTGTATGTCATGCGTTAATGAACTGCTTTTGTAACTGATGTCTGGGCCAGGGATTTAGCTTAGCAGTGTAAGTGCCTGCCTGACAAGTAGGAGGTTTTGAGTTCGATCCCCTGGTACCAAAAGAACTAAAACTAAACAAAAACATTATGAATTCTAATACAACTGACTTCTGGATTTCTTTAGCACCTTTGTAACTGCAGAATTTGTCAAAGAAAACCAGTTCCAAGACTGAGATGTAGTCTTGGTGGAGCACATGCTTGTGCTTGAGACTGTGGTTCAGTCCCCAACACCACAAAAGAAAGAGGACAAAAGAAAAACTGATTTCATTGGTGGTTTCTGTTTGCATAAACTTGGCATTTTAAAATTTAGATTGCATGTACATGCACCTGAAAATGAAGTAGCTTTGCTTGAAAGTCAGCTGACAGTTAGATTTTTTGGCTCAATGAATTGGTCACACTAGCTTTTTAAACTTCTTCTACCTTTAAAAATATTGTGGTCCAGTTTGGGAGAGTCAGTCATTTCAGTTAGTTTTTATTGGACAGGACCTGCACTGTTCTGTGAACACAATGGAATTTCCTTTCAGGACTGAGTCAGAGTGGCGTCTTTCCAAGGTATTAGGAGCTTGGATTAAGTGAAAACTTGAGGTAAGGGTGTTGCCAGTAGCACTTGGGTGACAGCTCACCCAGCGTGTGATCAGAGTACAGGCCCTTTCCGCTGCTCACTGGTTCCTGAGCAGGTAAATCTGCCACAGGTGACTTGTTGGCTGCTTGGCTGTCCTGTTTCTTTTCCCATCAATTGAATCTTCCTGATTTTAGAAATGTTTGAAAATTTGTATATTTTCTATGAGAAATTTGGGATATGAAAAATATATTACATGCACCTCCATTTTATGTAAGATGAAACAGGTTTGAGGAAGCCAAATCATTTTTAATAAGGTCACGTGTCTATAGCCCTGGTGGTTCACTCTTCCGGGGCACTTTTCTTCAGGTGATCTGCGCATTGTGTCTGTTTGAATGTTTGTCGTTGGTTTGTGTCTTCTAGAGGGGTCTCAGTTTTTTTAGTAAGCTGTGGCAGTAAGTGTTCTGCTGTCATCTTGCTATTTTTAAATGACTATAGATGGAAGTATGGTGTGAGAACTATCAGTGCACTAGTATTACTGCACGTATCCTGTTTCACCAGCAAAGTGTTTTAATGAACACTGCCGGAGTGGAACATCGCAGCAGATGCCTGTATTCTGAGTGGAGACTGCAGGCAGCCTTGAGATAGAGAGAAAAAGAGCCCTTTAAGTTGGTCTGGCTTTTGTGAGTTCAGTAGAACTGTTTCATCATACAAAACAAGTTCTAACAGCCGTCGCTGGAGAACCTCCTAGAGTCTGTTCAGACACTTTTCTTGCAAGACCAGAGGCTCCCTGGGTTCCAGGTGTTAGGAGAGGTGTAACTGCAGGTGTTCAGTGCTTGATGTGTGGGTGTCTCACTGGATCTGGGGAAGGCTGCAGGGAGCTCAACCCAAGAGAGGGTGTTGTTTCTTTCTGAATGCCATCCCAAGATGCAGAGACAGGAGGCAGGCAGTGGTGTGTTAGGAATTGCATTCAGAGGAAAAGCCCAGCCTGGGCTTACACTGTTCCAGGGCAGTCACGTTCTCGTCTTCTTGCCAGAGTTTCCAAGCTACTTCTGGGTGGGTCGTGGAACCTTTCTAGAGAGGTGAGGAGGGATTGGGAAAACATTTGGGGGAGAACATTTTAGGAAGTGAAGCTTTTGAGGTAGAAAGGTTTTCAGGGGACCCAGGGGCCAGCATGGCTGACCCCAAGGTGGTTCAGGGTCAGATTATACAGGACATGATCGTTGTGCTGAGCCTGTGGAACAGGCCTGTAATCCCAACATTTAGGAGACTGAAGCAGGAAGGTGGCAAGTTTGAGCCCGGCCAGAGCCATTAGTGAGTTATCAAAGTCCTGTCCCAAAATAAACAATGATTCAGGCATGTAAATTATCGTGTAGGTTTAGGAAAAATGTCCTGAAGGTATTTAGTCAGAGGTCTAACGCAGCCGGAAATGAGATGGACTGTGTTTGGAGCGTGAATAAGGGCTGGCAAGGAGCTCGTGAGAAGTGAGTTTGGGAGTTTGGGCTGTGGGAGTGGAACTGTAATTGTTTAAGATGTGACTCTTCAGTCTGCAGTGCAACTATCTGTTCCTTTTAAAAATAGCCTTGTGGCCCTGTTGCCAACTTTGCCTTGCTTAGCTTTATTCTTCTTGTGTTCCGGCTGTGTAATGTCAACTAGAATTCTGAGGGCACTTTCATCTTCAGGTCGGCTTCAGTGAGCTGCTAGTAAGGTGGGGTTGCAGGTATAAGGTGGCTGGCAGCTGTTAAAAGTTCCCACTTGTTCCCCAACAGGGGAGTTTGGGCCAGGTACCTGGGGCACATTGTCTTTTGGTCTATTTTTAAAGTAGGATAGAAAAATGGAACTGGCTTCACAGGTAATTGCCTCATGAGGTCGTTTTGGTTCTTTCAGGTTGGATTGCAGGTATACCTTTTAAATGTTATCTTTTCAGAACATGTTTATGTAAATATTTCTGTATAGAATTTTACGTCTTTCAGAACTTTTCAAAGGACAGTGTTGTTCAGTTCCTTATTTCAGTTTTATGGCATTATAATTTACAAGTCAACTGAATAAGGGATCTCAGATACCTTCAAAAGTGCCATCTGTTACCTAGCTCTCTCTAAGTACTACAACCTGACTTTTTAATTAGATCAGTGAATACTTATGGTGTTACAGTTACTTTTTATCTAGGGAGCTTTTAATTAATTTTGGGGGGCTTTTAAGCTTTCTCTTTTACATGTTGGGTTATTCTTAAAGTTTCTGGGGGCGGTAGGGACATGCTGTTTTCTGTAATTGGTTTCCTTTTAATTTTTTCTTTACTATCACACCACTTAAAAAGAAAGCTTTTAGATGAAAGGAAAGAACTCAATTATTTAATGTCAGTCATTATAAATAGTGCAAAGATGAAAGTTCTTGAATTATGCCTTGATTTTGTGTGATCTCAGAAATTTCTTATGCATGACTATGGTTTAAAATATTGCTGTTTGTACTTAGCATTCAACCAGTGAACATTTCTTTTTCATATGGATAGCTTTTAAAAATCAAAGCAATAGTTAATGTATGTGAAAGCCTTACTCTGTTGAATACATTGCTATTTTATGTGCTACACTTCATTTTGTGACTACATTTCTGAAATTTTCTTAAGTGCTTGGTGACAAAACTAGATTATACTTCAGCCAGACAGAAATAATGAGAGCATTCAAAGCAGAGGCTGTTTGCATTTTTAGTGTTCTCAGTTTGTGTTGTGACCCTTGTACAGGTAGAAGGTAGGCCTCTGGCCGTAGAAGTGTGCTGGACCCTAGGTTCTAGGATTTGTCTTGCCTCTTTGTAAAAGAAATTCATATGTTTATGGCCTTTCTGCCGTTAGCCGCTCTTTCCTGCGCTTGTCTCTGCAATTTTAGATATGTTCACTGATGTTTCCTCCTTCCAGTAGTGGCCACGGAGGAGGTGGTTACAGCAGAGTCCGTGGATGGTGCAATTCAGCAAGTAGTCAGCTCAGGGGGTCAGCAAGTCATCACCATAGTTACAGATGGGATCCAGCTCGGAAACCTGCACTCTATTCCCACCAGTGGGATAGGCCAGCCCATCATTGTGACCATGCCTGATGGACAGCAAGGTTAGTAGACATTTATACCAAGCTGATGCGATTTTTACCTCTCAGGAAATTGTGATGTATTTTCCAAAGTGTTTACTTTGCCCTTGAGTTATATTTCTGCAACCTTTTGTAACAGATGTCTGTCTAATTTCACTTGCTTAGGCTGATAACTGAAGTGAGTTTGGAGCTGGGTATGATGGTATGTAGCTGTAATCCCACCACTCAGAGGTCAAGATAGAAAGATTGAGTTTGAACCCAACCTGGGCAATTTCACAAGACTGGTCTGATTCATGATATCTAAAAAAAAAACAAGAAGAGAAGGTGTGCGCTGTGAAGGCCTGGAGTGCCATCCCCAGTCCTTAAATACCACCAAACAGAAAATGAGATATTCAGAACCAGTGTTGGATAATGCTTTCTTGCACCATTTCATGGCAGTTTATGTATCATATGGTGGACTTTTAGCAATAGCAAGTTGAGCTTGGAGCTTATGGTAGGAATATGGTGGCAGTTTTTATATGTTTATGGAGAATTTACCCCATTTTTTCCCTCTTAAAAACCACAAAGAATATCAAGATGAATGAAACAAAAACCCAGATGAATTAAAAGTCTGAGAAAACGTCAAAGTTCCACACTTAAGAGCTGCCCAGAGCACCTAAGGCCAGCACAGCCTGGAAGCCTGGGGTGTAGGGCATTGGGAGAGGAGAAGAAGGAGCCCAGAAATCACCAGGGAAAGAGGGTAGCAGAAAGTGAAGGCCTGGCCTGAAAAGGAAGTACTGCTGGCGAGGATAAGGATGAGGGAGGAGAGTTCTGGGCAGGCAGAGAGGAGGTGCGGAATGGGGTGGGCCTGCCCCAGCCCCAACCTACGTGCATGTGCACACGCACCATGCCGATCCCCAAAGAAGAGAAAGCGCTCAGGGCTGCAGAGACTGCCTGTCTCTAGATAGGGAAGGAAGTTCTCTGATGGAGGTGAACTTCTACACCAAGATTGGCTGTGAGGGCAGAGGAGGTGTGGGGCTGAAGAGACAGACTTGGCATAGAAGAGGGAGCCTTTGGCTTGAGGGCCTGATCGCTCTCCAGCCTGCTCAGACCTTTTGCTGAACGCTGGTCCAAGGGTTGAATCAGGCCTTGGTACTTTTTTAAAACTATAAAGAACCAATTCTAATCATTTACAAGCAAAGAAAACACTTAAAAATTTTCTGTCTGTTTAAAAACAGCAGATGGAAAATTGTCTCTAAAATGTGACATTATACAGAAGAAAATTACTGATTTTAGACATGTTCACCAATGTTTCCTCCACCAACAAATGAAAGGAAAGCCATGGTTTTGGAAGAGAGGACTCAGAATCAAGTTGTTAAACACTTTCTGGTTAATTTGTAAATTTGGTGTGTCATAGAAAAGACAGTTAAGTTTGCTCGGGCTGCCATAATGCAGCGAGCAGGCTGCACGATGCCGGAAGAAACACCTTTTCTGTCAGCAAGCTGCAGGCCAGCCTCATGGCGTTGGCCTCTCCTTGACTGGCATGTGGTCACCCAGCCGTGTCTTCACATGGGCTGCTCAGTGTTTGTGGCATCTGTGTCCTGACCACTCTGCTCGTAAGGACACCAGTCAGCAGTGGACTAGGGTACCTGTGGGACCTGTTTCACCTTGAGTACGTCTTGGAAAGCCTGGTCTCGAGGTAGAATCCCAGAATGTGAATAATTCAGGAACGAGGGGGCCACACAACTCAAGTTTTTCTGGAGTTCATCACATAGTTTTTGTATTGATGGTGAGAAGAGGAAAGGAAAGATAAGGGAGACTCTGGAAAAGAAGAGTGAGCGGGCCCTACTGAATATTAAATTTTAAAATGCCTGCCCATGGGTGATGGCATGATCCTGCTGTTCAGAGCAAGGGCAGCTGTCTGTGTTTACCTTCTTACAAAAAGTGGCAAAAATGGGACAAAACCCAGTCATCGCGGAGGACAGGTGTATGGTGTGACAGTGTGACACACCGCTCACAGGAGGAGGCTGTGTGCTTAGAGGCGGTGAATGTGGGCAGAGCAGTGGCTGGGCATGTGTGTCTGAGTGTGCACTGTTGGTGTGCTGTCAGTGCATGTGCACACTTGTGTCCAAATAAATCAGTGTAAGGACATGAGAAACTAGTAAGGGGATTGTACAGGTAGGGGTGGGCGTAAGACCTCTCAAAATATGCTCGGTAAATATTTTATTTTACAGTCCTGTGAATGAACGTATCACAGAATTTAAAAGCTAGATACTGTAAGTAATAAGTAAATTTCAGTACAGAAGCAAGACAGTGAAATATACAAAGAACAGGGCAGTGTTTGAGATTGTTGGGAGTGTGTGCATTTTCGATGAGCAGCATCAGTGAAGTTACTGCGTCTGATTTCTATCCAAGGCCTCTGAGAGTGAAGGAATGCGTGCATTTCTCATTGCAGTGTTAACAGTGCCTGCGACGGACATCGCTGAAGAAACCGTTATAAGTGAGGAGCCACCGGCTAAGAGACAGTGTATTGAGATAATTGAAAACCGGGTGGAATCTGCAGAAATAGAAGTAAGGAGTCTTTTACCCGGTGTGTTTAGTGGCAGTCGTCCAAAATAAATTCTTTTTTTTTATTATTATTGTTTTTGTCTTTATATTTATTGCAGTGTTTTTGTTTTTGTTTTTTGGGTTTTTTGATAATGAAAGTGCATGGTATTATCTTTTGTTTATTTTTTGCCTTATACATATAGCAAACCCTCAATAAATAAATATTGAATGAATGAGTGAGTGAAGATTTGTTTGTAACAAGCCTGCCATCTGGTGACACTGGCATGTCTTTGGTTTTTACCTTCCATCGTTTGTTTTCTGTCTGTCTTCTACTTGTCAGTCTCAGGAGTCACTAAAAGGAACTACAACTACATACTGACAAAAGACATTTTTTTCTTGGAAAAGCGAAACTCAGATACCTAATTGAGCTGGCCAGGGTCCTCTTAAAGAAGGTTGATGTCTCTGTAATGGGTTGTGTTTTTTAAAACAGTGTATAACTGCTAAGATTCACCTTCTTTCTTGTCTCTTGAATTAGTTTATAAGTATATACTAGTTTGTAATGCAGATTTCCCATGGTTGTTTTTTTCTCACAAGTATAAATAAAATTCTGTTTCTTGAATTTTTTTTTTTTTTTTTTGGTACTGGGGATTGAACTCGACCTCACACTTGCCAGGCAGGCGCTTACGCCACTGAGCTAAGTCCTCGGCCCTATGTTCCCTGAATTTATAACATATAAAGTGCAAACAAAGTTTTTAAATAACTGCTGTGTAAACAGACCTGAATTTGAAATCAGTTAAGCTGGATTTTGAATACCCTTTGTTGACCATCTACTTTAAAGCAAATTATCATACCTTTCCAAATCATAGTTTTCTTCTAAATTAGCATCCAAAATAACGTCTCCATTTTAGAGTTTTTATTTCAAAAGCATACTAATAGTATATTTAGAGTACCTGTTTTATGCATAATAAATTTAGTTAATATTTAGCATTGATAAAAGTTCTTATTACCACAGGAAGGGGACTTTTTGTAAAAGTTAACTAAAAGGCAATATAATTCTTTTTTTGGTGCCAGAGATTATGAATTTAGGATCTTGCCTTTGCCAGGCAGGAGCTTGTGCCACTGAGCTACCCCGCTCCCCGGCAGTATAATTCTTAACACAATTAGAATATACCTTCCTGTATTCATTTAACTATCAGACTGCTGCATGTTTGGTTATATTCATAAGTAATATTACTGAGTTGAAAAGAAACTGATTAATTATTTAACCAGAATGTCTGGTAAAATTGTAATTTCATTCAGTGTGAGTTGTGATTCTATAAAGTTTAAAGAGATATGCAGGAAAGTGAAGTTCTAGCCATTCCGCCAAGTAGTGTCAGCATACTTACTGTCATTTCTGATTTGTCAGATGGTCTTTTTCAAGCACATAGAGTGAGAAAAAATTGTCAGTAAAACCTTTTAAATAAAACATTAAAATTACTTGAATTTTTGTTGAATATAAGATTATTTGACAAGTTGTACGTTTCTGATGATAAATGTGAAAGCCAGTATCTTTCTTTGCTGGTGACCAGTGAATAATCTGTCTCCCAGTTCTGCCTGATTTTCTTCTTTCAAAGATTAGGGAAAATAGTTGTAAGAACAAGAAAGTAGGAATTGAGGTATATTAATTAGCTAGGACCAAGGAAACTGAATTTTAGGGAGATGGAATCCTAGTTTGGAGTAAAAGTGGGGTTTTGTTTTTGTTGTTGTTGATTAAGGCGGGGTCTCACTGTGTAGTGCAGGCTGGCCTCGAACTCATTTATGTTGCCCAAGCTGGCCTCAAGTTTGCAATGATTTTCCTGCCTCAGCCTCCTTAGTGCTGGGACTACAGGCATGTGCCACCTGGCCCAGCTAAGAGCAAGGTTTCTCATCTTTTATTTTTGTCACTGGAAATGCTCAGGACAGGGTGCAGGACCTCTTGCAGCAGTTGGGGCAAAACTAACCAACACTGTGTGTACTGATGGTGGGGGTGGGCTGGAATTGGGCAGGAAGAGATGACCTCAGGGGCCACAGCAATCTGGGAAGTTGTGGGTGTACCATACCTGAAGTCATGCTTTAAGTTTTATTCTTAGATTCCCAGTGGTGGTGTTTTGGGCAGGCTTCTGCACTGCTTTCTGAAGTAACAGCCTTTAACCCAAAGTTTCTGTAAGGTGGTGGTTCTCAGCTGGGGCAGTTTGATCCCAAGTGACATTTGTCATTGCCAGGGAACTTCTTTGGTTCTTACAGTAGCGGCAAGCCACTGGCACTTGGTGGGTAGAGTGAATGTCTTGTGATCCTCAGGACAGCGTTCAGGATTTATGTGCTTTAAATACTGTCACTGAGACTGAGGAACTGCAGGGATTCAGGAACCACCTCATGTACTGAATCCCCTTCATCCCTTTCCTCTGTCTTTATGCCGAAGGTTGGCAGAGTGACCATAAAGAAGATGATACAAACTTACGTGGGTAGTGTTCAAGGATTCCCCAATAACCCCTGGGAAAACTAATTTCAATTCTATCAAGTCTATGCAAATTTTGTGGCATTTATGTCTGCATTGCAGCAATGTAGAATTTTCTAGGGAGGAAGATAAAAACAAGGCACTAAACTATGATAGTGAATAAACCTTTATTACCACCTCTTGATGTTACTGAATTGATTCTTTTGGAGAAGGTGTGCTGTTTCCACCTTTCTGTAAGTAAATATTAGCCTGTTGTCAGTTGAACTTGATCTTCCTACGTGTGGGGGGAGAAAGTGTCATTAGGGACTGCAAAGTGTCTGTTCCTGTGTGACTCTAGGAAGGAGCTTCACTTCTTGTTAGTAGATGAGAGATGCGTATGTTTATCAGTGAATTTTGTTAATTTTTGAGATTAGCTTTTTTTAAATTCTGGAAGTGGATCAAATGCAGGCCCTAATGCATGTGAGGCCCACCCACGTACCCCCAGCTCTGTGTATCAGATACCTGTCTCCTTTAGCCAGAATTGGATTGAGATCTGTAGTAGGATTTAAAGATCTCTATAAATGGTAACAGTAGTGTTTTATTTAAAATTTTTAAAAATTTTAATTCTGAGGCTTGAACTCAGGAGCGCTGTACCTCTGAGCTACATCCCCAACCCTTTGGGGTTTTCTATTTTTTTATTTGAAGCTGGGCCTTGCTAAGTTCCCAGACTGCCTTGGGCTTGAGGTCCTCGGCCTGAGGCCCCGTGGTCGGGGTCACTGGCAACTGAGCATCTGATAGTCTGCGGGAGGTCTGTGTCTTCCTCACAGGGTGGAAGCTCCTGCTGCAGCTGCCCAGCGCTGCCAGTGCAGGGGGGAAGCGGCGGAGGTGGACAGTTTGGAAATGAGTGGGTGTGGCTGTGTTTCAGGAAATAGAAGAACAAGATCATCTTTGCCATGTTTGGCCCAGGGCAGTTAAAAAACTGATCTTCACGTGCAAACTTCTCACATGTGCAGCCTAGACCTTGCACCCAGGTCTAGTAACCCCAGCACCTCAGGAGAACCAGACAGGAAGTTTTAGGCCACTTTAGGCTCCACAACAAGATCCTGTCTCAAAAACAAAAGCAGAATGAGCGGCTAGGAATCTTTCTTTCTTTCTTTCTTTCTTTCTTTTTTTGGTCTTTTTGAGACAGGGTTTCACTGTGTAGTTCAGGCTGACCTCGTACTCCTGTCAATTCTCCTGCCTCAGCCTCCTGAGTGCTGTAAATACAGGTGTGAACCACCATGCCCCCAGCATAAAATATAGTATCACATTTTGCAGATGATGTGATTAAATCCCTGAAGAGGTCTAGAGGCTCTTTTTTTTTTATACCGGGAATCGAACTCACGACCTCATGCTTGCCAGGCAGGCGCTTATGCCACTGAGCTAAATCTCCAGCCCCATTTAAATGGAGGAGGAAACTGCATTGTTTCTGTTGTGGAAGACTTCTGTGAGGTTTTGTTTTATTTTATTTATGTATTTTCTTTCTTGGTTCCAGGGATTGAACTTACCACCTCATTCTTGCCAGGCAGCGCTTGTGCTGCTGAGCTAAACCCCTGACCCCACAGTTTAACTTTTCAAAGCTTAGTTCCTCATCAACAAAAGTGGAAAAATAGCATCTCCAATATAAGCTTGTTGGCAAGATGAAATGAGAATGCATGTGAAGGATTAATGCAATGGTGGGCACATAGTAAGTGTTCAGTAAACCTTAGCTGCTATCATTATTCTAAAATTCACATTGAGGCCAGGAGTAGTGGCACATGCCTGAAATCCCTTGGGAGGCTAAGAGAGGGATTGTCTGAAGTTTGAGGTTAGCCTGAAGGATTGTAATAAGGTTCTGTCTCAAAAACAAGAAAACCCCAGCTACAACACAAGCCAGGTTCCAAGGTCAGGGAGGACTAGCAGCCTGTGGGGAAGGACAGCATGAGCACCTCCCAGACCCGTGCCCACTCAGGACATAAACAGAAGGACCAATCTCTTCTGCCTATTGGGCCAAATAAAACTCATTTTTTTACATTTTTAACTAAATCTAAAATCTGAAAGATAAGAATCATTAGTACTATGCTGAATACATTGAGCATGACTAGTATTACTGATTTGTACACTTTTTTTTTTTTTTAACTTCTCAAGAATACAGGCACAGGGGAGAAGAATGTTCTCCTGTCTCACTTCAAAGCAAGAGTCTCTGGACAGTGGGAGCTGTCACTTCTTGTTTTACTCACAGAAATGCTTTGTTTCTGTTTGTCAAATGTTCCTCAACATAAAAGACAGCACCATTCTGGGATGTTTTCCCTGAGCTATCCAAGGCCCGAAAGAAGAGAAGTAGTAGCAGCATTTTCATTGGACTGGGATCCCGTAAACCCGACGTGTCCCTGCATCCCATCGGGCAGCTGCGCCTGCCCTTGGTGTCACATTTTTCCTACCTTCGCTGTGGGCATAGTACCTGAGGGATGCTTGCTAGGACATCACTTCGCTCGGTTCCATCATTCCTCCAGGGCTCTGCAGCTGTAGATGCCTTCAGGCCAAAATGTGAGCCTAAGGCCAGAAAGAGCTGTGACTGTGTAGTTTACTCTTAAAACCTTCCAGGTTACACAGCCCGTACAAAGCTGCACATGCCCAGTTTGGGTTTGTTCCTTAGACTCAGTTCTAATTAGGACACTTCTTGAGGCTGGGAAGTAATCTGCGTCTCATATTGTGGAGCACAGAACTAGGGGTGTGGTGACCTGTGAGCCACTTGGAGGGGCAGCGTTGTCCGCGAACTCTCAGTAAGCGGCTACTTGGGGCTATTGCAGTCTTGTTTGAAGGATGTAGCGTATGCGTGTTAATATATTAAAACTTTTTATTTTAATTAGGAGAGAGAAGCTCTTCAGAAACAACTGGATGAAGCGAATCGAGAAGCACAGAAATACCGACAGCAACTTCTTAAGAAAGAGCAGGAAGCGGAGGCCTACAGACAGAAGCTGGAAGCTATGACTCGGCTGCAGACTAACAAAGAAGCTGTCTGATAGAGACAGACTTGTGACTGGATCTTACTGTGGGTCAGGAAAGAACGCAGCTTCGAACTGCACACGTGGTGCAGCCGTGGGAGTACAGGAGGGGAGGAGACCCCCCAAGCGACAGTTGGACTGAAGCTCTGAGCTTTGAATTCTTGTAACATAAAACTTTAGAAGTTGTGAAATGTATTTAAAACTCAATTCTGTAAATAGGTTTTTTCTTTTTCTTTTTTTTTTTTTTTTATAGTTCCAAATGAGTTGGTAAAGATTGTTGATGAAATCCGAAGCCACAATAAGCCACTGTTATTGTGAGTTCTTTTGATTTTAGTATGAACATTATCTTCTCAGAAACAGGACAGTTTTAAGGGTGATCGCTGTTGGTTAGACCAGATGTTGCGTCATAATTATGGTGGACTGATGCTGGGATTACTCTTGCAGGTATAAACTTCCGTATGGAGAGAAGATTTCTCACAGGAAATCTTTGTGCAGCTTTAAGTTGTCTCAGATTCTCTGAAAACATTTTTTAGAAAGCAGAACTTTTATATTTGTTCAATTTCTGCTATACCCAAGTAGAGTAAATGTATATGAAGCAAATATTTTTAAATCTTCTGTTTGTACATATTCTGCATGTTTTATAATTTCAAAATGCATCACTTGCATAGATATTTTTCCCACAAAGATGATGAAAGTTAGCAGAAATAAACCTTTTATTCTGTAGGTTATTGAAACCAAGTAAGCTGTCAGCTGGTTTTATTGGAATGACAATGTTCTTGGAAGGAGCAGCTTACAAGAGAACTTGAATTTCAAAGTCTGTGAGATCTATGCTTTTTTGAAAATTTCATTGTGGGGACGTGAAACTGTATTCTGTGCCTTCCATCATGATTTCCACATGAAAGCACTTTAAGGCACTGGATTTTAAGATGATGTTTTTGGAAAACTCAGTACATATGGGTTTCTGCAATATTTCAAGGACTTAGCCTCCCCTCCCCCAGGAAATTATTCTTATGGAAGAAATTGCTTTTGTATGTAGAACCAGAACTTTTGTACTACAGTAATGCTATGCGTCTAACGGCCCTTCCCCTCCCCTGAAAGCTCAGCGCCGTTCCGTGACTTGCTCTCATCACTATTTGTTAATTTCCACGGTTTATTAAACCCTGGTAGACTGTTCATTCTTTTTTGTAAAACATCAAGCCCTTTTTTCTTGCTTTATTTTTTAATGTTTTATTGCTTTATGAAAATGTTTAACCTGAAAACCCTCTAGATTACCTGTACTGTATAAAAGAAGCAATTACCCTTAAAACTGTACTCTGGCCTACTTTTCTATTTTACAATTAAATATCTTTTCCACATATATTTAGTGTAGATTTATGGTTTGCCTGCGTTTTCTTCACTTTAAAATTGGGGCCCGAGGGGTAGCTCAGTGGCAGAGGATGTACTTAGCATTGTGAAGGGCCTGGATTTGATCCCGTGTGTGAGAGAGAGAGGGAGAGGGAAGTTCTGAGCACTTTCCACACTGACTTGAAAGTTACTAGAGAGCTAGGGATTTGGCTCAGCAGCACAGCACCTGCCTCGCAAGCACCAGGTCATGAGTTTGATTCTGGGTACCAAAAAAAAAGTTGCTGGGGTAACGTCTTGGAGATGCATTCTCTCGCGTTAATCCCTATAGTTGGCAGTGTAATAAAGGGATATGTGGACTATCAGCCTGATTTAGGTTGGGATTTGGAAGTTGTAGAAAGATTCTACAGCAAATTGAAGAGTTCCATAGGGAAAAGAAAAATGATTTTCCACTAAATTTGACATGACTGATACGTTGATAGGTTTTCTTTACGTTGCCAAGCTGACCCCTAAGCTCCAAGCAGTCCTCTTGCCTCAGCCTCCCAAGTTGCTGGGTTTATAGGTATACACCATGCCTAGTTGAAATGTTTTAAATGATCTAACATTAAGTTTTCAAAATAGGGCATATGCTGGGCGTGGTGGTCCAAACCTGCAATGCCAGCACTCGGGAGGCTGAGGCAGGAGGATCATTGCAAGTCTGAGACCAGCTTGGGCTACAAAGTGATGTCAAGACCATCCTGAATTGTATAGTGAGACCCTGTCTCAAAATGACAAGATTAAATAAAATGGCAGATCATATTTTCAGTGGCATCAAGATACTTGTTCTGCAGCCCTAAAAAGTCACTGGAGGCTGTCCTGGGTAATACCTTTGTGTGTGCCAGGCTGCTGGCATAGGCAGTGCTGGAGCAGAGGAGGCGGCCCAGGTGTTCACCTTAGGGTACCTGCTACAAATTTCCTTTCAGACCAGGCCGCCCTGAAAAGTCTCAAGATAGTGGCTGCACTTTACCAGGTGCAGACACCATTTGATCCCTTAACAGTAGCGGCTGCAGTCAAGGGAAACGTGGCTGGTGTGTAGGGCTGGTTGGGGCCAGGCACAGTACCTGCACCCCTGTAGTTAGGGGGTGATACTCGAATTTGTGATTAAAATGTTTCTTGTTTTTGTTTTTAGCCTCTGTCACAGGGAGGCTTTGCTTCTAGGCGTTCTCAGTGCTCTGAGAGAACTGAACTGGCACGGGAGTGATACGAAGCTGTTTGATGTGTGTAGGACCGAGTGACCGGTGTGCAGTGGGCAGTCTCGTGGTTGCTGGGTCAGAGGTCGGGTGCTCCCGTCTATGTCTGAGCTTCCTCAGCATGGGTGCATGGGTCGGCAGAGGAGCCAGCCGGAAACGCCAGGCCTGCAGCTCAGCAAGGCACCTCGTCACCTGCTGTGGAGACATTGGCCTCACTGGGCAGCTTGATCGCCTGCCTCTGATTTATACCTTGTATGTGTGGTTGCTGCCCCTCTCGGATGCTGAGTTCTATGTCGCTGTGATACTTTTAGGGGAGCACTGTCTGCAGGGACTGTGGGTCCACAGATCTTCACTGCCTCAATATTTTACTTCTGATAACTCTCCAGAAGGATTCATGATGTCTTTTGTCTTTCCTGGATTTCGGGAATTATTTACTGCCATCTTTCAGGATACAGATGGTGATCAATTCCTGCACATGGCCTCTCTCTTTTTTTTTGGGGGGGGGGCCACGGGGGATCAAACTCATGACCTCACGCTTAAGCAGGTGCGTATGCCACTGAGCTAGATCCCCGGCCCATGGCCTCTGTCTTTTCTATTAATTTACAGTGGTGGGAAACCAGCAGTTGGAAAGGTTCCTTTCTTCTTGACATTCAGAACAAAATTGCAGAGAGGAGGAGATTAATGGGAAGTAATGTCAATGAAGATGAGTTTGTTACTGCAAGGTCTGAGAACACAGGTTTATTGGAAGCGGGGATGAAGCCAAATTCCAGCCGCACAGGGTCCTGGTCGATGCATACTTTAAAAGAATATCTCCAAAATGTCGCCAGTGAAAATCTGCACCAGCCTGGGTATTTTCAGTGTGATCATTTAGGATGTTACTTACTGGAAATTAGAAGAACTTGCACACCACAGAAGTGGCTGCATTGCTAGAAATAGTTGTAGGTGCTTTACTGCGAAAAGTGTTTGTCTGTATTCCTATCTAAACAAAGGTTTTCTTGAGAGTCTATGGAGCCACTCTGCTTTAATATGAGGAAGACCTCGGAAGTTGACTTAGTCAAAATGCAGGAAGAAGGAACAATGTTTTCAGATAACAACGACGGCGTGATACCAGGAGGCTCGCACCCATCTGGATGGGCTCCCACGGCATGATGCCTGGCTCCTGTACTGTAGGCACTGCTCCACCTGGCTCCTGCTGATACGTGCCACACTGAGCCGGTCGACTTTGGAATGGACGAGCAGGAGGACTTGCTGTTTTGTGAAGTGATATTTACCGTCCTCAGGCTCATTATAGATACCGAGTCTCTGCCACCTGCAGGTGACACCTATGTTTGCTGTCTCCCTGTTGGACAAGAGCGTGGGTGGCACCTGGGCTTGGTTTGACGCAAATCCTCCAAATTCACTCTTGCTCTGTGCAGACCCCGGGAAAGGTGTCACCATCGGAAATATGCTCTGTTGTCAGACTTTGAGCACTGCTTGTTTTTTGAGACAGGGTCTTGCTTCAATAAAAATTTTGATATCAGTATTTTTGTGACCTCTTTAAATCTTTTCCCCAAATATATAAATACACAATTTTGTGTCTTCTGATGTTTTTTTTTTTTTTTTTTTTTTTTGAGACAGGGTCTCGCTATGCAGTTCAGGCTGGCCTTGAGCTCACTTTGTAGCCCAGGCTGGTCTCGAACTTGCAACAATCCTCCTGCCTCAGCCTCCTGAGTGCTAGGATTACAAGCGTGAGCCACCACACCCGGCTCTGATGATTTTGATATCTTGAATTTCTTTAAAATACCTCACTTTAATGATAACCAAAAGTTGGTCTCGCTATGTGATCCTGCCTCAGCCTCCTGAGTACTGGGCTTACAGAGGTGTGTATCACCATGCTTAGCAGTTTCTGGAAAAATTTTAAACCAGTTTCTTAGAGTCTGCTTATTCAGTTTTTCATTTGAATAGTTTTAATTTCATGTACACAGTTGATCTATACAGTGTTTTCTACATTTATAATACAATTTTTGCCTCTGGTTGATTACATTATTTTGCATTTCATGGATTATTCATGAATCTTTTCTGAGAATGATTTCCTTGTGTATTTTTTGTGCCCAGTTGAAATTCAGTAAAACAGGGGCTGGGGATTTAGCTTAGTGGCATAAGCACCTGCCTGGCAAGCTCGAGGTCGTGAGTTCAGTCCCTAGTACCAAAAAAAAAATTTTAGTAAAGCATTTTTATTGCTATTTTTCATGATTATTCTAGACTTACTATCTCCATCATAACTCTAAGTAATCAAGTTTAAATTGCATTTGTTTAGTATTTGTCTATAGGAAGATTCGTGTATTAAAACTTACATTTAGGTGAAACCCTAGGTTTGTGTGTGTGTTTTTTAATCCTTTGTCTGCCTGACAATTATTCCCAAACATTTTACATGGGACCATTGGGATTTTGAGTGTCACATGCAGAATGTCCTTTTCCCTCTCTACATTTTTGTAGTATGCTTTTGATATACACTGGACTTCAGAGATATGTAGTAGAGTTTTGAGTGGTTCTTAGATTTTCTTAAAGCTATCATACTATAATATTCTATGTATTGGCATTTTTTTCAGTTCATGTTATACGGTATTTTAATTTTACTTATATTTTGACAGACAGGGTCTTGTGTTGAGGCTGGTCTCAAACCCCTGGGCTCCAGAGATCCTCCTACCTCAGCTTCCTGAGTATCTGGGAAAGCAGGTACATCCCACTGCATCTGCTAAACAGTATCTTAGACATTCAATGAGTCATTCATTTTGACTGTTCATATAAAATTACAGAAGAATTTACTATGATCTAATTAGTACATGATCTAATTCCAGCACTGTGGGAGGCTGAAGCAGGAGGATCCCAAATTTGAACCCACCCTGGGCAATTGAGCAACTTAGCGAGTCTACGTCTTAAAAACAATTGTTAAAGATTATGTGCTGATTTACTTAGTTTCCCTGTGTACAGCAGTGGCACTTGCAATTTCCTCTTTTAACCTGACCCTGGCCCACAGCTCTACCCACTGCCACTTGGCAGAATCCCATCCCCGGAACCTCCCTAACCTCTGTGGCAGCTGGTAGGTGTGAAACCAACTCCTTGTCTGAGCAGCACTGGGCTGGCGCCCTCCCTGTCGAAGCGCTGGCCCATCTTCTGGTTTTGGGGTAACAGTGATTCCACCTCATTTCCAGCTCCCACTCTAAGCAGAAAGGATGGACCAGACACGGGCACCTCAGTTCTCCCCAGTAGAACTCAGTGACGCATTCCGAACAGCCAGACAGAAGTAAAGCACAGTGCTAGAAGTTCTAGTTTATTTTGTTCACTGTCTTCCACATCTCATCAAAGAGGCAGGACGGAGCCGTTGGAGAGAAGACACCGACCTAGGAAACGCTTGGTCTTCCTGGCTGGGTCTGTTTATAACACACAGAAACTCTTGGATCCCGCCATTCTGCTCCCAAGGACCATTTTAAGGAGCTGTTGAGGGCACAGGCTGTTTATCCCATTCTCACCTGTAGCAGCAATACCAGAGCCCCACAGATGTGCAGTGCAGGGCTGGCAGAAGACATCACGGGATGGCCCTGCGGCAGAATGCTAACACCCAGCAGCTCCTCCTAAGGGGTTGCAGGTTGGGGACCTCCGGGAGGGAGCGTGGGGTGTGTGATGTGTCCGTGGAGGAAGATGCAGTGTGGTAGGGCAGGAGAACTCAGAGGGAGGGAACGTGTGTCACAGCTGGAGGGGGTCAGGTGACATGCGAGAATCATATCCCTCACCTCTGTCTTGGTACTCA